ATTTTTAGTGACTACTCATGTCCAAATAAAAGGCATCAAAACTGGTAATTTTAGGGCTCAAAGTACCGTGCGTACGCCTCTAGTCCTAAATTTGAATCTTTCGAAAAGTTGGGAACAAACACCCACCATCCTGGTCGGGATATGATACCTGTCAAAATTTTTGAATCAAAATTTGTACTTTCATTACACAAGACTTTTAAAAGTAGTGACATTTAGTCAAGAAATCAAACCCGAATGTTGAGTATCAAAAGTAGTCATCAAAGCTTCCCAGCCTCGATGGACCTGTCATGTTCTAGTTTTACACTTTTCAACAATAGAAAATACATCAATCACCATGCCGCCCTGCCTAGCTTCTCGACCAACAGTTCTGCACCAAAGTTTGCCTCCTGGTGTCCTTTGTCCCATTTCTCAAAAACTGTCAGATATAGTCACAACTGAAATCCAAGTGCAACTTGTCGAAAGAAGTGATTTTACCCCTACGGAGATCTGTCCACGTGAAAAGTTCTAAGTTTCTTCCTGGCGACAAAATGTCTCAGCACGCATGTAAACAAGCCGCCGTAAGGGAAGGAGAATTTGACCGCCAATTGATAGCCGGTATCCCATTTTTCTTAGATGATTTAACTTTGTCATTTTTAGTGACTACTCATGTCCAAATAAAAGGCATCAAAACTGGTAATTTTAGGGCTCAAAGTACCGTGCGTACGCCTCTAGTCCTAAATTTGAATCTTTCGAAAAGTTGGGAACAAACACCCACCATCCTGGTCGGGATATGATACCTGTCAAAATTTTTGAATCAAAATTTGTACTTTCATTACACAAGGCTTTTAATAGTAGTGACATTTAGTCAAGAAATCAAACCCGAATGTTGAGTATCAAAAGTAGTCATCAAAGCTTCCCAGCCTCGATGGACCTGTCATGTTCTAGGTTTATACTTTTCACCAATAGAAAATACGTAAATCGCCATGCCGCCCTGTTTGCATGGTCTAACAACATTTGTGCACCAAGGTGCGCCTTCTGGTGCCCATTTTCCCATTTCTCAAAAACTGTCAAATATAGTCACAACTGAAGTCCAATTGTAGCTTGTCGAAGGAAGTCTTTTAACCCCTACGGAGACCTTTCCACGTGTCAAGTTCTAAGTTTCTACCTGGCGACAAAATGTCTTGGCACACATGTAAACAATCCTCCCGCCTCTGTGCATAATTTGGCCGCCAATTGATCGCGGGTATCCCATTTTTTTTAAACTCGGTGAGTTTTAGACAATACTGATGTCCAAATAGACAGTATCAAGACTGGTGATTGTAGGCCTCAAAGTATGGTGTGTACGCGTCTAGTCTTAAATTTGAATCTTTCGAAAAGTTGGGAACAAATCCCCACCATCCTTGATGGGATATGAGATTTGTCAATCTTTTTGCACCAAAATTTGTATTTTCGAGACATGAGATTTTTAAAAGATGGTGACTTTTAGTCAGAAAATTAAACCCATCAAGCCAATGATAACGCTTTGTGTGATGCTGGAACTGATCGGGTCGATATTGTTTATGAGGGAGGTGGCAATTCGTAGGGGTAAATGTGTGTCGTAAATTTATGGGTAAAGTTGGGTATTAAAAATTTCGACTAATTTTAGGGGGAAATGCTACATATGTATCTTTGCTAGAATATGCCAATGTTTTTTGAGGTAATTTAAGTTTACTTTGATGGTAATTCGTGGTACCAACAAATATTTGTAAATAAAGATAATTACCTGAGTTAATGAGTCCATTACTATTAAGTCATTATTGGGTTGGGTTTTTTTGGGTTTTAATGGGTTGTTAATGAATAAAACCCATTGAGTTTTACCATGATATACATATGGGTTTTATTTAGGTTTTAATGGGTTTTAACTGTGTTTTAGCTTAAAACTAAATTCTAAAAGTTGAACACATCTCTCATACGTTAGACGAAGACTTCGTCTAACATATGTTTATCCAAATTGTCATATTGTACTTCATCACTAGGGTTAATTAAAAAGTCCGCAGCCCTACAAAAAAGCCCGGCCCGCCCAGAACCCTGCAGGAAAAAGCCCGGCCCGCCCAGAACCCTGCTGGAAAAAGCTCGACCCGTCGGGCCCGACTGGATTTTCCTAGGCAAAAAACCCGGCCCGCCCAAAACCCTATAGGGAAGGGTAGGGTTTTTTAGGGTAAACCTGACCCTACGCACAGCTCTAGACGAAGTTGTTTGACAGCAGCTAAGCAGTTTAGTTTATTAATATTGTAAGTTTTGAAAACCAGGATTAAATCAGCAAATTCATACCATTCCTTGCCATCACAGGTTTCAAGTGATCCAAAAAATTAAATTCGGAACGGGAATGTTTAACTAATCATACATAATTTAATACTTTTTGCGACCATAATACTTCTCATCTCCATACTCTGTGAGCTCTGCACTCGATACTCATCTCGACACACTAGGTACATATTTCACTGGTGCGAATAAATTTTAAAGAATATCATAGTATTTTTTTGTTTGTAATTAAAAAAATTAACGTTTCAAATCAATCTTAATTATCACCTTTGGAAAAATCGAGCACTTATGGACAGCGAAATACTGTATTTATTATGAGCATAAGAAGTATATCTATAAAAGCACTTATTTTACTATCGGCCATAATATGTCCTTCGTTGTTCAAATCATAAGTACTCGATTTTTTCCAGAATTGATAATACACGTTAAGATCGCTTTGAAACATTAAATTTTAAAAACCTTTAAACAACTTGGATTTCATTGTAATGATAGGAAGTATTTGGGAAAAACGTAATAATTATGGTCGCATAATTAAACTATATGATTAGTTAAATAGGACCCTTTCGGAACGGATACAAATTCTAACGTGGACAAGGAGGATTTGCATATGTATGACTGGAATCGGATTGCAAAAGTTGTGAAAATTTTTGTGCAGTGTATTACTCATGGAAAACCTAATAAAACCCATTAAAACCCAAAAAAACCCATTAAAACCCCTGCGTCGTTACTTTTTGATTAAAACCCTGGGTTTTTCCAAACCCTGCAAGGGTGTTTTTAAAATGACTACTTATTCCGTATATTAAAAAATACGACTGCAAAACACGTTAATAATTGGAACTTATGTATATAATAGATAAATAAAGTTGCCAGGTAACCTATTTATGTATGTACATAAGTCAAGCACGCCACCATAGCTCAAAGTTTGAGGTAGTGGAACTTATTAGGATTAGGTACTTTTTGCATTCATACATATATATGTATGTACATACATAATCAATTACAAGAATGCTTATGTAGATCATTTCATTTATTGTGCCGTACTGTACAGTGTACACTCTTAAAAATCCTTCACCAAAAGGTGATTACGTTTTCCAAGGGATGCTGATAAATATTGCCCGCATGGTGACGAATTGTGACTGCCTGGTATTAATTTTATCATCATTAGATGAGAAATATTGTCTCGGCGCGGTGAAGTCACATATGCGCTCCGTTCGGTGACGATTAACACCGGATTTTTAAGAGTGTATTAAAAATAAACCGTAGTAACGTTAGAAGTAGCTCACCCTGTAATAATTATTTGGTTATATCTTGCCCCAAAGGTGCCGAAAAATGCAACAAAATAGATACATAATTTTTATGCAATATTGCACCAATGGTGCAGAAAAATTATACAAAATAGATACATAATTTTTATTCAATATTGCACCAATAGTGTAGAAAAATCCAACAAAATAGATCAATAAATATTATGCATCGAGGAAAGTTCAAAACTTGTGCATCACTGGTGCAGAATTACCTACCAACGATCAACGATAATTTTGAAAAATTTATGTCAAAATTGTCTAATAAAATCCGCCGAGTAGTATGCACTATTGGTGCGTTTTGCATCCCTTCTCCCAATTATTTCGCATCATTTTGTGTTACCGATTGTTAGATATCAACGGTGCTATCAATTTATTAAAAAATTCTATTCGGTTTGTTCAATACCAATGGTGCGTCTAACTTATTCAATAATGGTCAAGGGGATTTTTAAATAGCATCAATTGATGCAAAAAACTCGTTAACAGGCGGACAGACGGACAGACAGACGGACAAGAGGAATTCAATAGCTCTCATGCTACGCAGGGTGAGCTAATAAGGCGCAAAATAAGGTTCACAATGATTTGGACATAACTTTGCACCAAAGGTGCGGAATAAGCCGACAAAAGAGATCATAATTTTCTTACATTCTTGCGCCAAGGGTGCAAAATAAAAGGCGGACTTAGTATGCACCACCTGCGCAGCATCAGACACCAAGTGCCAGCTTTAACTTTAATAACTTTATGCCAAAATTGTAGGATTATCTTTTCCGGATATTCTGCACTATTGGTGCGTTTTACATCGCTTCCCTCAATTATTTCGCATCATTTTGTGTTACCAATTGTTAGACACCAATGGTGCTATTAATTTATAATAAAATGGACCTGGTACATTTTAATTAGCATCAATTGATGCAAAAAGGTCGTTAACAGACGGACGGACGGACGGACAAGAGGAATTCAATAGCTCCCGTGCTACGCAGGGTGAGCTAATAATCCAGCTCATAACGCTGATGTTTAAATATGTATATGCAGAATTGCATGAAATGAATCAGAAAGAGTTGTATCGCTATTCCTCCGATGTAAGGCATCACGTTGCATTTTATGTTGCAAACGTGTTGTATTGCTGCGTGGTATCCAAACCAAAACGTTTTGGTACTCTGTGGGACCGTCCATAAATTATGTCACGCGAAAGGGGGGAGGGGAAGGTCAAAGGCCTATGTGACACAAGTTAAAGGGGGGAGGGGGGTCAAGAAATTCATGTTTTATGCTTGAAATAATTTATGGATGTCCCCTGTGCGCATACTTTCGACAAGCGAAATATGAGTAATGATGTGCAAATCGTGCAAGAAAATAAGTTTTCATCCGTTATTATTATACGTATGTACGTCTTATATCATTGATTTGCCATTCCTTCACAAGTGTAAAATTATTAGTTCACTCAACATCATTGCGAATAAACCTGTTTCCTCTATAAAATCGAATTGAAATTTAAGATATTTCTTTTAAGTGAAACTGAAGAAAACTAATTAAATTATTACTGTGTATATTTTTCACAGTTTTCAGAGTAATCCCATCCTGTCTTTTTTCCAGAGCTTGGTAAATAAGTTCCTGACATATTTAAAAATATATAAATCAGTCGATTTCATGTTTTCTCCAATTAGTAAAAACTATTAAAAGAAAATTACAAATTTGTGAATTCGAAAATATCAACATTTCCTGGTAAAAAAAGCCAACACAAAATTAGTGCATAAATCGATTTTTAGGCATTCAATAATATCCATACAAAATCCAGAAATTGCACGAAAGTCATTGTTTAACGGCAAACAGTATAGTAAGATTACAATTTTTCGAAATATGCGATTAATTTAGAAATCGTAGTTATTGTGTGGATATGGAATTTTCCATATCATTTTAGCGTTTTAGTGTTACACTATTTACATAATACATTTTTTGTGCAATTCACTAATTTAGTCAAATGTATACAAAACTAATGAAAAACTACTTACACAAGGAATGCCGACCAAGTTTGAATAGCTACAATTTTGCATTAAGGTCCCATTTTCTGAAAATGGGACCACACCCTTCTATGAATTTTTGCAATAAAAAAAACACAATTCAATACTAAAAAACGATTTTTCGTACCGGTTTAATCCTCATTAGTATTGATATTTTAAGTGTACCTTGTTTTGTATAGTTCTTTATGGGATTTGATCAATTTCTCCCCGTTTAAAAAATGAAATTGCTGTCCAAAATTACTCAAAGTAATTCTTTTAAATTTTTTTCGAATTTCGAAAAACGCTATGTACAAATATTCAGGTTGTAGTAACAGAAATTCAAACATCTTTTAGTCTCCCATTATGAAGTATTCTTCGATCATCGAGAAATCCACCCACTTGTAGTTTTTACGAGTTTCAACCCCTCCCTTGGATTAGAGTTTATCCAAATTATTGGTAGGGCTTCAGTCACAAAAATCAGCTCTACAAACTACAAATTTTAACCAAATCAAAGTTTTTTATCATTCGAAATTCCAATTTTGATAATTGTTGTTGTTAAATACATCTAAACTATATAAAGCAGGCGAGTGTATCGCTGCTGGCTGGCTGGCTGGGTCGGTGGCTTAGGAGTAGAAGGTCACTACTTGTCGGGCCCCGATTTCGATCTCCTTTGGATATGTTGTAGTACTACATGAGTGTAGAAAAAGTGAAGGAGGGTTAGACTCCATGAGCCCAGTTACGCCCGCCACACCCCCTCAAAGGCCCCCAAACCCCTAGAGTTGCCGCACTAAAATCATCGCCAAAAATCGAGTTTTGGTCAGATTTTCAAAAAATTTACATTTTTGTGATCCCAGATAGTTGCTCTATCATACCCAATAGCAAACTCAATTTTTTTGAAATTTTCAATATTTTCGAAGATTTTCTGACCAAGGGTATGTGTTGAAAAAATTCGAAATTTCAAAAAAGTTGAGTTTGCTATTGGGTATGATAGAGCAACTATCTGGGATCACAAAAATGTAAATTTCATCCAAATCTGACCACAACTCGATTTTTGGCGATGATTTTAGTGTGGCAACTCTGGGGGTTTGGGCGCCTTTGAGGGGGTGTGGCGGGCGTAAATGGGCTCATGGAGTCTAACCCTCCTTCACTTTTTCTACACTCATGTAGTACTACAACATATCCAAAGGAGATCGAAATCGGGGACCGACAAGTAGTGACCTTCTACTCCTTAGTTGAGAAGTTAGCCTCTCCTTTTCTCTCTCCACTATGCACAGAACCGGAGAGGCTAATTTCACTAATGTTGGGGTAACGGGCTTATCGACGCCTATTTTGCACGTCGATTGACGGGCTTCTACACTTGTAGTTTATTAATTCGCAAGTAAACTGGGCTTGCATCACATGAAATGAATAACTAATTTACCCCTATTTGTATAATGTTTTAGACACTTTGCTCACGAGGCACAAAATTTCTAACAAGTTTGACACCGTTCGCTTCTTCATTCATTAACATAACTACTGAAATGAATAACGAGGTAAGTTCGCAGGTGAATTTCTAATTTTTGTCAAATTCAACATCATTTGTTTCATTTCATGTTATTATAATAATTTAATTATTTTGGGATCGATAGGTGGGTATCGATGTCGACCAAGATGGCGACGCTGCCGTGGTTGAGGTTGAAAATCCAACCGTAAGATAAATATGATTCTTCATTTTGACAAGTTGAGAGCAATTTAATTACTAGCGAACAAGGGATTGTTCCCGACTGCCCCTCGTGTCCAAGGTACCCACCATGCTTTTAAGAATCTACTGGGGCCAGGATAAAGGATTCGTTCATATTTCCTTGTAACACTCATATTCGCCGCATGTGGCGCGGATCCAATCCAGATTTTTTGACCTATTTCAAACGTCCATTGCTTTTGTAGGACTTTCATACTCCTAGGCTTAAAATGATCACAAATCACAGATTTGTCACACTGAGACCACATCAAAGAACCACAATCACAGATCACAAATTTTCAGAGGAAAATTACATAAATTTATGTTTAATTTTTAAGATTCTTTGAATAATGTGAAGCCATTCGCAAGTTTAACTCTTTGTCACCATTTTACTTTAAAATTTTGAATGCCCGATTAGGATTTTGAAAGCTCTGGCGATTTTTAGAATTAGAAATTCAAGTTTTGCGAATGTGGCGCCACGCCACGGCGCCAAATGAGTTTTACAAGGAAATATGAATTAATCCTTTATCTAGGGTACTAGTAGATTTTAATATTCTAAACACAGTATTTAAGTACATACCCTGGACACGAGAAGCAGTTGAACCTTCCATTGTCAGATTCAGATAATAAAAATTTCATTTTTTAATTTTCTAAGTCACGTCTCTTCGACACCTATTTTTTTATTATTTATTTTTGCATAAGAAGCAGTCGCCCTAGTAAATATTTTTGCGAAAGTGTAGCAGATTCTTAACACAAGTTAAAGGGGGGAGGGGGTCTAAAAAATCGGGATTTTTGCGTGACATAATTTATGAATCTCCCCTAAGGATTAATTAATCTGCTAGTTTAATTTGTTCAGCACAACTTGTGTTCAATATACAGATAATTTTATTTGCGTTCATTGTTCCCTTCATGTATAATTTTTCAGCTCCACGAGATCAGTGACACTTTCAGCGACTCAGACTCTGAGGAGGAATACATGAGAGAGAAGGTGAAACCGTACCTCCCGGCCCTCCTCAAATTCAACGAGCTTGTCGCTGGATTCAAATTGATGATCCCAATCGTAGTCAAACTGCCTCCGATCGACCGAGCCAACTATTTCAACGATGGGTACGACAGCCTCCTCAGGGGATTGTACCATCGCCCCAAGAAAATTCCCTTCGGCGTCGTACGCGCGATCGATGAACTGAAGGCGTTCTGCGACGCCGTCACGGTCGGATGGCGGCTATGGCCCGATTACTCGACGGGGTTGTACATGATGATCGACTACTTGGCGGAGGACACCAGGATTGACGACATTAAACGGATCGAGCCCACGTTTTTGTTGACTTTGAAGGAAATCGCGTCGAACGAAGCCTGGAACAATTTCATGGCTGCTCAAATTTTGCCCTCGCAGGCGAAGAAGATTCTAATTAGGTTTAAGAAGGCGACAAACACGGTCGAAAATGAGGGTAAAGCTGTCGGTCAGCTTGATAACTTGGAGAAAGATTTGGTGTCGATGATGTTGGGGTTGAAAATGCGACCGGAGTATGGCAAAAATAAAATTTGCGATGGGTTGGATTGCGTCGAAATTGAGTTGACTCCGGGGGAATTTCCTCATTGTGGGAAATGCAAGCAGGCCGTGTATCATTCGAAAGAGTGTCAGGTAAAGGCGTGGAAAGCGGGGCATAAGAAGGCGTGCAAAAAACAAACGGAATAAAATTTATTATAAAATTATTATAAAATTCAACTTTATGATTAAGGCTTACCCTCACGCTCGGAGGAGAATTTCGGAGCAGGAGTATTCTCCTAGTCTCATCCTTCTCTCTCGCTTTGCAGAATACATGGAATCACACATCTCGGAACTTTGCATCGACCCTGTGGGGGGGAGGAGTCGACCTCAGGGAGATGCATCCTCCGGTGTTTAGAATTTGGTTTTCTGCGTCTGATGGTATTTTTTTCAAATTTTTTGGATTGGCACAAGGTACACTTATGCCCCTTACCATCAAGTGATGTAACCTTATGTAGACTGGTAAGGGGCATAAGTGTACCTTGCGCCAGTCCAAAAAATTTGAAAAAAATACCATCAGACGCAGAAAACCAAATTCTAAACACCGGAGGATGCATCTCCCTGAGGTCGACTCCTCCCCCCCACAGGGTCGATGCAAAGTTCCGAGATGTGTGATTCCATGTATTCTGCAAAGCGAGAGAGAAGGATGAGACTAGGAGAATATTCCTGCTCCGAAATTCTCCTCCTCGCGTGAGGGTAAGGCTTAAATAAAAATGATTCGAAAAATTGTTAAGGATAACGAGGTTTATAAAAATGTGTATTAAGTAACACCTAATATCGTGTAATAATACCTTTGTAGCAAATTTTTACCCAGCTGTATAATTTTCATACCAAGTGGTATAGCTTCTTTAATACCCAGAAATCAATACCTGCCTGAAACCAGGTTTCTACAGGATGTCCGTAGATTATATGAACACTAGATTTACACGGGTAACATGCGAACGGATGATCCAATTGGCGCCAAATTTGGCACACATTAACTTCAAGGTCATGACAACAGCTGTACAAAGTTTCAAATTTGTATCTTCAAAGGTGGCCCCAAAAAGCGACCCCAAAGTGGGGGAACCGTAAAAGCGGTTTCCGAAGCTAATTTGGCCGCGGAAAGTGCCCAAACGATTATCCAAAAATCTGAAACCCATCTTATCGTGTCCCCCATATATCCCTTCATCAATTTTGCAAGAAAACGATGATGATTAGCTAAATCCGACCAATGTATATCTAAAAATGAACACCCCTCAAAACGACGAATTCTCCCACCCTCAAGAAAAATGACCGCCTCCCTCTCAATGAGAAGCATCCGACCAAAAAAACGTCACAAAACAATCCCAGATGCCTATTGAACACGTTAATCGTGTTATAAATCACAACTTTGAAAAAGCAGTCCTTAGGAAGGCGAAATTCGGAACACTAAAATCATCCAATGTTGTAAACAAAAAATTAACAGTCCGAGGCTGTTTGAAGGTCATGTTGGGAGTAAACATTCCGAATTTGTCGTCACGTTGGAGGGGGCACTCTGCTACCTTTAAACTATAACAGGATAAAAATGATTCGCTTCAGAAACGACCAGAAGCAGGTTTCAAACTATGGGTCTGAAAAGAAGGAAAAGCTGTCTGACGGATTTCTGGTGGTTGGTGCAATGACGAGCCGTGGAGTGCTAGAATTGATACCTGTTGGGTCTAATGCAAAAATTAACTCGAAGCACTTTATGGAGAGTGCTTTACATACGCTTTTGGAGGTCAAAATTCGAACGAAGCAATTTGAGGAGCTTTACAAAGTTTGCATCCATAACGATACTGCATCTTCACATACTGCTTGGTCAATTCGGCATTACGCCCAAGATTTATAAGAAAGAACCGGAATGACCTCGACATCTTATTTCGAGGTCCATAAGCAGTAATCTGACACGGGTCAGATGGATTTTTTCGGGTTTGGATGCCTGAAACAAAGCATTTTCAAGAGGAAGTCATGAACTTTGGTTGGGCTTTGAAAAGTTGTAAATCATGAATGGGATCTTGTCTCCCCTGAAACGTGTCAAAATGTGTTTGGAGGTTGGAAACCAAGACTCAGACTTGTTGCTAGGAAAAATGGAGAACACATTGAGATCGCTAAAGTAATTCACAGTCATCGTGTTCAGAAGTTATAAGGTAATTCATACTGTTCATATAAACTGCGGACACCCTCTGTAATATATCAGGTCTCTAATAGTATAGATTCATGCTTGATAACCGGCAGTAATTCGCAGCTTGGTAATCTGGTAAAAATATTGAAATGTTTAGTTGTTCTTACAGCCAGCTTTCAACATCCCATCGCTCAATAATAATTCCAGGCACCGCTTACCCCGTCAACGGTTCGACCTACGCCCACATTCCCGTGGCAACATATCCCTCTCAAAATTGTTCCTTTCGCTCCGTCTCCAACGTATTTACCGCCCTTTCTAAAGAATCCTTATTCAACAAGGACCCCACCTTCGCCAAAATCATGGCAAAAATCATGTCCTGCAAGCACACTTGTAACTTTGTGGATCGCGAGCCGAACCGGATCGTAAATTGCGATCCGATCCACGAGCCAGTCGTGGATCGGGTCGTGGATCGCGAGGCAAAAGTTACAAATGTGCCTGCAAGGGAACCACGTTTGTCCCCCAGTTCGTCGCCCAGCTAACCCGACTCGTAACCACGCCCGACGTCCTCATCTCCGAAGTTGAACAGTTGCCAAAAATGAAAATGATGGCAGAAGAAGTCGCACCTCAAAAGGATTTCCAGATTTCTACGGACAAATTAATCCATCCGATCTACATCGGCGTGGGAGACGACCTACTCGGTCCTGCAGTGAGAAAGATGCTGAGATCCTTCAGTGAAGCCGGGTATTTCGGGTATTACGTCAGATCTATTAAGGAGGCGGGATTTTTAAATTTTTGGGGCAAGATGGACCGCACATCCGATCAATAAGAGGAGACGAAGGGAAAGTGGGGGAGTTGTGAGACTAAATATGAACCATATCAAGCCAATGATAACGCTTTGCTTGATGCTGGAACTGATCGGGCTGGTGTTGTTTGTGAGGGAGGTGGTAATTGGTAGGAGGAAATGTGTATGGTAATTTTATGGAGAAATTTTCGATAACTTTAGGGGAGAAATACATGCATACATACACAATTGCTTATTATAACATGCCGACCCTTCTCAGAAACATCGCTCACGTCCAGACTGGAAATTCAGATCGTTTACTTGTCAAAAACACAAATTTCCATGAGACCCATTTTATTTTGTTCGCTACAAAAAATGAGCACGCTCGTTGATCTTTCACAAAAATTGAGATTTATGAGTCCCCAGTCAGCATAATTTGAGGTAATTTGAGACTGACGGTGCCGTAGTTTCTCATAATTCTCAATTTCTCTGAAAGTTCAACTGTGTCCGAATGGAGAGTACCTGTATTTTTTTATTTTTCACAATGCAGCATGAATTTTAAACGAGTTTCTTGCCAAAATCCCAGGTTTTCAAAATCCTGTAATTTTTAGAAGTTAGCACCAAGTTCGCGCAATGACCACAAGCACAGATAAACCGAGCAATTTCACGAATTTGTTGCACTCATAATTTTCAAAATTCTTCGCATTTGCACAAGTTCCGCAGTAAATGTTGTTTTTAGGAAAAACAAATTTTTCAATGTTTTGAGATTTTTAGTTTATGTATGAAAATAAGCTTAACAAAGTGAGGCAAGATGAGTCACAAAACAAAATAAAGCGGTAAATATGTAAGTTCTCCCTATACTCTTGGCATTTGGTAAGTAATTTATTAATTCTCAATTAAATTAATCGAATGAAATTAATGTCGGCTAAAATCTTCCAGATAGACCCTTTGCTCCCTAAACAATGAAATAAGAGGTCGAATCCGCTTATTAATTTACTAACCAAATGAATGGATAACGAGGTATGTAGGTGTAGATTTCTAAATTTTGGCAATTTCAACATCATTTAATTTCATGACATTATAATAATTTAATTAATTGGATAGGAGGGAACCGAAATCGACCAGGATGACGTGGCTGCTGAGGTGGAAGATCCAAAGGTGAGAAAAATACGGCTAATGAATTTAGCCAGTTGCAATTTGCAATTACCTATTTTTGCAAAGGAGATTGAGGAAAGTATAATATAATCACTGTTTTATTTGCACAGAAAATGTCGAAAGATGCATCCCCCAACTGTAATAAAAATGGGACGGGACACATTTTGCAAGATTTACTCTCCTCCACCATCCATCTCGACAGATTAGATTTTAATACCCCACCGCAACGACACGATCACAACTTCCTGAAAATTGAGGACGATAACTCATCGCAAGAATTAAGGCGCTGTTCGATCTGCTCCGAATCGACAAATCTGAGTCCTCTCCCCCGAAGAAATGGGAATTCTTGCCAAATTCGTTTTAAGTCAGGGGCAAATTTCTCTCATTTTACAAGCTGAAGATCATCCACCAATATTTTGTTGTAAAATTTGCTCCTCCGCGATCCTCTCCTTGGCCAAATTGACCACGCAAATTGAAAATATTACCATTGCTCTCCGTTCCGTCATTTCCAGCAGGAATGGACTCTTTAATCAGCTGCGAAATGATTCCAAAATTATTGGTAAATAATAATTTACATATTTGACTAATCGTGAGTAATTGAATTATATTCACTTAAATAGAATTATGGCGTGAAATAGCAGCTTGTCCTGCTGACACTATTTCTAACAATAATGACGATACTGGATCCTTTGAAGAAGAAGAATTCTCCGTAAAATTCGAGCCAACCTCCGAAGACGAAAACTGCGACGACGACGACGACACCACGCCGGCAGAGAGTGACGACTCAGACGGTGCAAATTTCGATGTTCATGCCGAATCAAAATATGTGTGCACAAAATGCCAACCTAATGTCACGTTCACCCAGTACGATAGCCTCATACGCCACATGAAGAACAAGAATATTCACCCAGACATTTCCGATGCCTATATTTCTCGTGAGTTTTACCACATATGTACTTAACTACCTATAACAATTATGATTATAATCCGTTCGAATGTACTTATCAACTTATCTTTTAGACTTGCAACTTCGCTTAGCACCAAAGAAATTTACGTGCAAAATATGCAACATGAAATTCGCCAGAAATACGGACCTCCAGCGACACTTGAGGAACAAGAAAATACATCCCGTAGCCGCATTTGGAAAGAAATATGTTTGCAAAACATGTAACGCCACATTTACCAGACTTGACGGCTACAAGCGCCACATGACGAACAAGAATATTCATCCCGACCTTTCCGATGTTGCTATTGCAGGTTAGAGTACATACTTTATACAAAATTTAAAAGTAAAGTTATAATTTCCACTTTGTTGCGTAGCCGCATCAAAGAAACACGTTACAAATTCGAATGTTGAATCAGAACATGTCTGCAAAATATGTCAACCCAACGTGACATTTACCAGGCATGACGCTTGCCTGCGCCACATGAGGAATTATCATCCCGACAGATCGGATGCTTCTATTTCCGGTGAGTTTTATTAAGTTACACTAACATTTAAAGTATTTAAATCATTCGAATTTATTCATTCATTTAATATTTAGTCGTGCAACCTCGTTTGGCATTAAAGAAATTTATATGCAAGATATGTAACATGAAATTCACCACAAACTCGCATCTGCGTCAACATTTAAGGAACAAGAATATTCATCCCGACCTATCCGATGCTGATATTTCCGGTGAGATTGCGTACTTCATACAAAATTTGAAGTCAATTTCTAACTTTAATTTCTTTCCTTAGTCGCATCAAAGAGAAACGTTACACGTTCGAATGCTTCTATTTCCGGTGAGTTTTATTAAGAACAATAATACTTGAAAGATATAAATCATTCGAATTTTTTGAGTCATTTACTATTTAGTCGTGCAACCTCGTTTGGCAACAAAGAAATTTACGTGCAAGATATTTAACATGAAATTCACCACAAATTCGCATCTTCGTCAACATTTTCGAAATAAGAATATTCATCCCGGCCAATCGGATGGTGATCTTGCCGGTAAGATTATAAATTATAACAATCTAATTTTTTACCCGGTACAATCATAAATTAATTCTTGGAATATATTTATTTAGGCGGCGATGGGCGTTTACTACAAGCAAGAAAAATTCCTTGCAAAATATGTGGGATGAAGTTGTCCAGTAATTGGGCTCTCTTGTGCCACGCAAGAAGCCTGCATCGAAATATTACCCCTGCCACTAATTCTGGTAAGATTGATTACACACTCCATAAAAAACATGATAAAAAATTAAAATATTTACCCTCCTTATCCTAAATTTATTTACACAGCGGTATCGAACACAACAGATCGGTGAGTATAAGTGCCAGTCAATCAGTCAATTTCCTGATCCAGACTTTCCAGTCGTTTTTTAGAATTAAAAAAATTTAATATTTGAGAATAGCCTTACTCGCTTTAATATAATTATAATTTGATTTCCCACAATTTTTAATTAATTTTCATGCATTTTCCTACTTGATTAAATACAATTTTCAGTTTTTTTAATCCAAGATTTCTAATTACGAAATATACATTATCCTATTTTTTTGCAGGCTCATCCCTCTAAAACGGAACCTACTTCCATGTTCAAAATGTGACAAGAGTTTCTGCTCGAACTGGAAGTTACTCCGACACAAACGCTCCATTCACGGACAGGTTCCTTTTATGCGGAAATGTACCCGTTGCCCGCGCACCTTCGCGCACTTGAGCTTATTGCAAATGCACATGCGTAAATGTTACAATGTTCCAATTGTTCCATGCAAAGGAGCGCGTCATTCCTGTGCCATATGTTCAAAAACCTTTGTCACACCGACACATAAGAACCGTCACGTTGAACTTTTCCATTTCCTGGACAAGACGTGCTGCCCGTACGGATGCCCGACCCAGTTTGGCTCGGAGGCTGAATGGGTGACTCATTTGGAGGGGTGTGACTCCCCAAAAATGGTAAACAAAAAAAACACATTTTAATTACTTCTTCGGGCGAGTCATCATTAGTTTTTTTAAATTTTTGTTATTAGAGTGCAGAATCGGAATGCTTTTGCCAATATTGCCCCGCCGTGTTCCGCAACATCCTCTTGCAGATAGAACATCGTCTGCGCGTACATCCCGAAAGGTGCTACCCTTGTTCTATGTGTGGACAGAGACTTACCCGCCTAAGTGCTCTACGTAATCACGGGTGCGGTATGAATGCAACCACGTTTTCGGAATCCAGTCTCGAAACTGAATCAAAATATGTGTGCTTAGTCGCTGCCGGTGAGTTTTATTAAGTAATATCAAGAATTGTAATCATTCGAAGTTATTGATTCATTTACTATTTAGGCTTCAAACCTCGCTCGACATTAAAGAAATTTACGTGCAAAATATGTAACATGAAATTCACCACAAATTCGCATCTCCGTCAACATCTGAGGAACCAAAATATTCATCCCGGTCTTTCCGAGGCCGATATTGTCGGTGAGATTACGTCCTTCGTACAAAATTTAAAGTGCATTTCTAATTTCAAGTAAGTTTGTAATTTAAATTTGTTTCGTTTATTATTTAGGCTTGAAACCGGGTTCGGCATCGAAGAAATTTACGTGCAAAATATGTAACATGAAATTTACTAGAAATTATCATCTCGTTCAACATTTAAGGAACAAGAATATTCATCCCGGCCTTTCCGATGCTGACATTTCCGGTGAGATTACGATTACATACTTCATACAAAATTTTATACTGCATTTCTAATTTAAATTTGTTTCCGTAGCCGCATCAAAGAAAATCGTTCCAAATTGGAATGCTGAATCGAAAGTGTGCACAATATGCCAGCCTACTGTGACATTTACCAGACATGACGCTTGCCTGCGCCACATGAGGAATATTCATCCCGTCAGATCGGATGCTTCTATTTCCGGTGAGTTTTATTCAGTAATTATGTATAATACAACATACTTGAAATATACAAATCATTCGGACTCATTATTTAGAATTGCAGCGTCACGTATCACCAAAGAAATTTGCGTGCAAAATATGTAACAAGAAATTCACTACAAATAAGCATCTCCGGCGAGATTTGAGGAACACGAATATTCATCAACACATTGCCGATACGTATATTTCCGGTGAGTTTGGTGCCAGAATGGATAGAAAGAAAGATTATGCATATTAAATCACAAGTTGTAAGATTAGTAGCGAACCTCACACTTAATTAGTCATTAATTCAGTTTAATTGTGTATCATATCCACTTTTTCGAAGATTTCTATAACGCCTGTTAATAGTTAGTTTATTCGCAAGCAAGTGTGATTTTTGGTTAAATTGGATTCCCTGCAATCCAATTATAAATATGTAGACATACATATGTAGATTTGTTTCTAGGCAGTAGTCCCAGTGCTTCACTCCGGACAAGCTTAAGCCAAGGAGCGCGTCCGTCCTGCGCCATATGTTCAAAAACCTTCTCCACATCGGGAAACAAGAATCGACACGTCGAACTGGTCCACTTCCTGGACAAGACGTCCTGCCCGTACGGATGCGCAACCCAGTTTGGCTCGGAGGCTGAGTGGGTGACGCATTTGGAGGGGTGTGACTCCCCGAAAATGGTAAAAGAAAATCCAAAATTTTTAGTAATTTTTTATGCCGGACATCATTTTTATTAGCTGATTTTTGTTACTAAATAGAGTGTAACATCCCAATGTCTTTGCCAATACTGCCCCGCCGTGTTCCGCAACATCCTCTTACAGATAGAACATCGCCTGCACGTTCATCCGGAAAAGTGCTACGCATGCTCAGTTTGTGGGAAAAAATTTTCCCGCTTACATTTTCTCCATGACCACCGTTGTAAATAAATGGTAAAAAATATTTACTGATAATTTAAAATAAAGACAGTAAAACCCGACTTATATACATATATGTACTTTTACTATGGGTGTAAAGCTGCAGACCAAATTTTCGAAAGTTTTTGGTACATTACATATGTACATACACCGCCCTGCATAATTATCATGAAAGATATTGAAATGTGTAATATCCAACTTTGTGATATGACCAGATGGCGGATATGTACATATGTATCAATAACTATTTCATACCAAACTAGATAGTACGTCATAAAAACTCGTGCACCAACATCCCATATAATCATGATCTCAAACATGCAAACATATGTAGTTTTCGTTATTTACATACATATATTTTAGTAATTACAAAGCTTTAAGGTTTAAATATTAAATACTTTTATATATGTATGCATGTTTTGTTTTTTTTAAATAAGTATTTAAATATATATTTTATATTTTAGGCTTTTAAATATAATTATTGGTCGTCAATGATTATTGAAGACATTGCCTAACAAATTGCCAGGTTTCGCCGGAATTGGAACTGGTTGTGCTGCATAAGCCATTAAATGAATTAAATGAATGAATTACGTTATACATCAAATCACGAGCTCAGTTCATAAATTATGCAACGCGAGAGGGGGAGGTTGGTCTAAAGCAGTGTGTGCAAAAAGGCAGCCTTTTTGCTTTTTCTGCATGCCTTTTTGCCTTTTTCAATGCCCTTTTGCCTTTTTGCCTTTTTGCTCGATTTTTGACGATTGAACCCGATTTATTGTCGTTTATAAGGTATTAAAGAAATTGCAGAATCTGCAATATGTTTTTAAAATTGTATTGGAGGGTTCTGACTTTCATCAATACTTCAAATTAGTTGAATACTTTTCCCCAAATATCTTCAGCGTTGTTTCTACATCTCCATCAGCTTAATTAATCAAATTTTGACACTAGAGTTCATATTTGCTAAAAGTATTAAAAACGCAATGAATAACTTTCACTTTAATTTTATCACGGGACTCTCGTCTCATCTCGCCCCAAATTAGCAAAAGGGCAAAACGGCAAAAAGGCACAGATTTTTGTGGGGCAAAAAGGCAAAGAGGCAGGCAAAAAGGCACTGCCTGCCTTTTTGCTCTGCACACACTGGTCTAAGGCTCCAATCACACATGTTAAATGGAGGAGAGGGTGGGGTCCGAAAATCGTGATTTTTGCATTACATAGTTTATGAAACGGCGCCCATGAAATTGCACTCGCATATTCTACTTACGTTTAGTTCCTGACAATGATCCGACGCAAGGTACATGTCCGTGGCAGAAATTTGCCCAGATGGAACGCTGACCAAAATTAATTTGGGGTGGGTAACTATGAGACATGGATGAAATAACGAAATTTTAAGGCCTGTCAAAATCTGGTAAAACTTAATACGTAACGGAAAACAATTTGCTGTCCCGTATTATCTGAACATTTAAGTAGTATTAATTTAAGTACTCACCACCCGCCATAAATTATAAACGGCATGTTATTATACTGCCGCGATTTTCGTTTTGTAGACAGAGGTTTTTAATCTAGGGGTCAAGCTTGGCGAAACATGGGCATTTTGCTAAGAAAAAAAACAGAATCTTTTAAATGCATGTTGAAATCAATTTGTTTTTGAGTTTTGATTACCAAATTGTTCGTCGAGGTTGGATGCTGGGGAAATGTAACAGCTTCTTCGTCCCGGTCAGAATCTGCAGGAAATATCAATTAGTGTGGCACATAGTTTGACTAAATTCTCTATCCACTGGTGAGAATAACATCAAACTTTCTAAATGTTCAGTGAATTATTGAGGATATGATTCTCAAAGTTTTTATTACTACTGACTGCCTGAAAGGTTAGCTAACGTAAGAATCTCGATTTTTGACTAGTGACTAATCTTTTTTATTACTTATTGAATAACAATTTAGAACGTTCAGCAAATAAAGATTAATGATTACCCTTTGAAATTATTCACAAATTAATAAATAATGATTATCGTTTAATTTGAGTAAGCGTGTACTTCATCACGGTAATTAATTAAACAACTCTGCAAAATATAAAGATTTTCACCTCGTAATGGATCTGACAATCGTCTCATGGATCTTGAATCCGTCTCTAGTAAAATTTCTCTCGTGTAACGTGTAGCTGCCAAACAGCTTGAAACCAAAATTGCGAATACCACTGGTAGAAGTGACTAAAACAGGGAAAGAAACACGACAAACATCGGGAGAATTATTATTTACGGACATTGTGGATGTACAAATGAGAAAAACTTTATTGTTTTCTAAATGGTGTCAAGCTTTCGATCTCGAATTGTGATCGCCTTCAGGACGGAAAATATTACAAATCGATTATTATTATTCCCACAGACTTGAAATTTAAAATTTAAATAATTTATGGTTGCTTGATAAGTGGAACCAATAGCGACGACCAAATTGGGTTAATCTCCATGCCGGAGTCCTTGTTCATTGTGTTGGGGGTAGAGCATGCAATACCGGGACTGTTTCTCAAAACCGGTATTCGGTATTTTCGGTATTGGGGACGTCGGTAATACCGGTATTACCGACATAAATCGCGAAATATTATCTCATTAAAATGAATCAAAAGAAATTGTTTTGCAATCTGCAAGTCATTACATGAATTTATTCATATATTCCTGACATTACACGCTAAATATGTATATATTTTAGTTTTTAATCCTATTAATCATAACTCAATCAATTTTTTGGAAATGTGATCTTAAAAAACATAGGTGATCTAATGTGTCGTCTCTCATACTACTCCTTAATTTATTGCATAAATATCCACTCGACGAAAACGCCCTCTCAGATTCAACGCTGGTCGGAACAATCCCAATTAAAAATTCGTATGCTAACTCTAAATGAAATCCTCTTTTACCTCCGTCTTCGAAGAGTTTCATTTCCTTCTTAATTGTCGTGGTCAATGATTTTTCCGGTTGAACTTTGTGTAAAGGGCTTGATGACAACGCTGCTGAAATTGCCTTGTTCAACTCCGTCGTGAGGTCTGACTTAAACTTTTTAACCTGTGATGGACCAGGTTTTTCTATAATATTAGTTTCACCTTCCTGCAGTTCCGATGCATCATCATTCATTCCACGTAACCGACATATTATGTTTCTTATAAGTGAACATATTTTTGTAGGCTTCGGAATTGAGAATATCTCATCTTGTTCACTATTTATATACTGCCCAGTATGTAAATATTTGAATAATCCAGATAGTTCCGTTCTTCTTTCTTCAATTCTTGTACGAAGAGCAACACCCAATTCCAGTGCCAGTCCAGATTGTTGCATGTCTAGCTTTTGAATCATGAAGTTTAAAGCTGTATCAGCCGTCAGCAAATTCGCGTCCCGCCTGCACAGGGCTTCAATCGTGGCTTCTATCGGTTTTAGCGCATCAACAATGTCCGAAATTCTTGCAAGCTCCCAATCTTTAAGATGAGCGTCAGATCTCACGTCCACCAAAGCTTTTTTAATTGACGCTTGCACAGTGTAAAATCGTTCCAGCATTGCAACTAAACTATTCCATCTTGTTTTACAATCTAATATGAGGGACAGTTCTTTGCCAAATTCTTGTTTTATATAAGTTTGTAGAATTTCATTTTTTAAAGGAGAGCGGCGAAACATTCTGACAATTGTTCTAACTTTGTCAATGACCGGTCGTAACGTGTGACTGATGACTAGATCCTCGTCCTCGTCTTCATCGATTTCTAAGAAACATACATTTTTTGCATTATACATAAGAACACGTACATTAACTTTCAGCTAACAATATACTAGTCAGTAAAAGCTCATTTATGCACTAATTGATTCTCACCTTCAGAGTCTGAGTCAGAATCACAACAAGAATCGTCCTCGCAAGGTGCTAAGTTGTCAAGATTTTCGTTCTCGCTTTCATCAGCTTCAGGAGTTTGGTTGATTTTCTTGTACAGAACATCAAGGACGCCAAGTTGAATGCCATGTGCGAAACATAATTGCTGATACGTCGGAGACAATCTTCCAATCTTCGTCATTACAGAGCTGCCATCGGTAATGATACAAACAATATCATTTTCCAGGGAAAGATTCAGCAGCCTCAATTTATTCGCAACCATTTCCAAGCACTTTTCAGCTGGCAAAGATCCGTGAATGCGAATAAGGCCCAGATTCCAAAATTCTTGGGGTTTACCATGTAGAATTACATTCATGTAACGCCTGTTCTTAATCGAACTCCATTCGTCAAATGTTACGCTAAATTTTCGCCCAATGCGTTTGAGGTCCAGCACGTGTTCATTTTCTGTTGATTTTATCTTCTGCGAGTAACCAATGACGATTTTTTTGATGGTGTGAGCTGATTTTGGTAAATCTGTGAAACCGTCGGATTTGAGAGCCCGGCGTAAATCTGTTGATGTCGAAAACACCGAAAATGGAATTCCGTCCTTTGCTGTCATTCTTGCTAGAGTTTCTTCGAGAGATTTTGTTTTCTTCTCAAAGAAATCCGAAATCGGCTTAACACTTTTTGCCTTAACTAAAATTATAAAAAAATGCTTCAAATTACTTATATTTAAATTAAGTGTCGATGGTTGAAAATATATTTATGTACAAAGATATTACCGCCAAGCTCAGAAGGATTCAAATCTTTTTTTAAAAGATCGATATGATGTATGCTTCTCAAATGGGTGTTTAAGCCGGATGTCGATCCTCCAGCAGTTTTCAAAACTTTTTGACAACTTGTGTCCATGCATTTGGCTGTTTTCCCATCTGCAACCTCTTTTAAGAAATAATTCCAAATCGAATCCTTGTTTAAACCTTGCTGAGGAACTTGAAAATATTTTGGAACAGTTTTTGAACTCTTGTCAAGTTCTTCGTTTGTTGCAGCGGCAACTACTGCCATGTTTATTAATTATGAAGAATTAACTTAATTAATAAACAAAAAAGTGCAAATATAGCGAGGGTAAATAATGCAATGCAAGGGAACATATGACGAGTCGGAATATGAATTTGAGCTTGAATGTAGGGAATGTATACCAGATGGCCTCAAATGTATGAATTTGTATGTGAATACCGGTATTGAACATTGGAATACCGGTATTCGGTAATACCGGTGAATACCGGGACTGGAATACCGGTATTGCATGCCCTAGTTGGGGGTTCTTTGTATGTACAGAGCCTCCATGAATTTTCTATGAAAATATCTTGGTTCATGAAAAATTAAACTTGCTGAGTTAAAATTGATATCATGTTGTGGAAATTCTATCTTGTGTGTTGCAACTGCTGAGTTTTCTTTTCGTTTTTCGGTGTCCTTGATGTGCTCCTTTATTCGTGTTTTGAATGGACGAGATGTCTCACCAATGTAGGTGCTAGTACAAGAGCATGTAATTTTGTAGACACCAACTTCATCTGTCTGAGTTTTCTCTTTGTGGTTGCATAACATATTCTTCAGTTTTCTTCCGGGAATATAGCCAAATTCGCAATTAAGTGTTCGTCGTAAGTAATGGGTCAGTCTGTATGTAATTGGACCCATATACGGCAGAATCATCCGTGGCTTTTTGTCATTATTAGGGTTGTCTGAATTTTGATTGGAATTTGCAATTTTCATTCTCATTTTTTCAATACGCATCTTGATTAAAGACTTCGGATAGTTGTTTTTTATCAGAGTCATCATGATGTGGTCCAACTCTTGATCTAGGAATTCTTGGTCACAAATGACGAGAGCTCTAAAAACTAAAGCGTCTATTACTGATAATTTATGAGAGTAATGGTGGTAAGATTCATAATTCAAATAACGGCCGGTATGTGTTGGTTTCCTGTATATATTTCTGTGGATAGCGCCATTGTCGTCTTTGATTAGGAGTACATCTAAAAATGGTATCTGGTTATTATCTTCTTCCTCGACGGTGAATTGAATGGAAGGATGATATGAGTTCATGATACTCAAAAGTTGGTCTATGTAGTCCTTGTGGATGCATGCTAAGCAGTCGTCTACGTATCTCTTGAAAAATTCGATGTTTGGGTTGTTGATAATTATTTCTTTTTCTAGAGATTGAAGGAAAAACTCCGCAAAAATTGGGGATAATGGGCTGCCCATTGGTGTTCCGTCTGATAATTTGTAGAAACGCGAGTTCCACGAGAAATAGTTTGATTTCATGCATAGTGATATTAGTTTGATAAGGTCCTCTTTTGTGAGACTGGTGTACGTTTGCCAAGCTTGGGATTCTGATAGCCGAGTTTTGATGTAGTTAAGGGTTTCTTGTAGGGGTACTTTGGTGAACAGGGATACCACGTCGAAGGATACGAGTTTGTAATTTTTTGGGACATGAAATCCTTTAATATCCTTCGCGAAACTGTACGAATTTCTAAGGGATGTGGGAAATTGACCTGTGATTGACTTGAGAATCTTGTTGAGGAAGAACGATAAATTATAAAGGGGTGAATTTCTGAAATCAACTATTGGGCGTAGTGGAGCTCCTTGTTTATGGATTTTGGGAAGGCCGTAGAAATTTGGACATTTGTGATTTCCTCTGGTTATTGTGTCATATTCTGCTATACATATAGATTATAATTCGGCATTAAAGTTTTGTACAGTCCGGGATAATTTTAATACCAAGCGGTAGCAACTTTAATACCGAGAAATCAATACCTGCGTGACTATATCAGATTTCTGACAATGTGCCTGTGAAAGGAGAGTACTTACGCATATGTAAGTACTTCCAAATTTACATATAGATCAAGATAATATTTTGTCCATGTGTGTAAATGTTTACCATGTTAAGTAATCCTCGTTTAGTACACAGTACAAACTTGACTTTCTCGTTGCAAATTATAAAATTTTAGAAAAATCCTTAATTTTTAAAGAAAACTAACCAATCTCAGTAAGCGTTCCTAACCAACTAAATATTTTTCTTCTCATTATCACAAATAAGCTATACAGTACATAGATTGAGGTACTTTTGACACGATTACAATCATGCAAATCAACTTTATGAATGGCAGACAAACGGGTCCTGATACTAGAAATTTAAGTACGTTATTGAAACCTAAATTACTCCATAGTCGGGTACATACATAAACCGTTACAAATGTTTCAAATCTAATGGTATGTATATATGTAAATCAATCCAATCCCAGTTGTCAATAACGAAGAGGTCTGCGTGTTATTCATTATCCGATATCAGATACGGTATGTATTCGGATGCAATATTGTCGTCCGATTTCGCAATAGATAATACCATTTCAATTACACATGCATATGCATCGCTTCACGTACGTAATCGGTAATTATCGTTAAAGTGATGCTTCCTTAATTCCTTAAATGAAAGAAACTTGTTTTGTGACCTATAATACATATGTACATACGACCAGTGCAAAAGTATGGGTACGCGTGGAGTGATTTTCTGCGATGCAGTGACTATATATATATATACCTAGTCAGGTAGGAAGTTCTTTGATAAACGTTTTTTCCTGCAGAAACATAACGGGAAAGAATTTTTAATTAAAACTTCCCATATGGATGCATAATATACCTGTGTATAATATAAAAATACTAAGTTTCCAAATTTCCTCTTTTGGAGTACACACGCTTGATAAATCTGATGGACGGCCGGTCGCTTGGAGCACGCGCGGTTTCTACCGGAAAATGGTCACAAGCGTTGAGAAACAAAATTTGAGAAATTCTGCACCAGTGGAAGTTTTAGAGCAGGCCATGGTCTCAATTTTAAGCCCCAAGTCATAATCCAGACGATTAAGGTCTGCTATTACCAATGGAATTTTTGTGACCAAATAAAATCGATGAAATGAGATCATAGTCAATTTTGGACAATTTTTGCACAATATGGCTGAGCCGTTACCTTCTAAGAAATTCAGTTTCTATTTTTCAATAGGCCGGAGTTCAAAGGTTTTACAGTAAGTTTTGCAACTTTGGTAATGTAATTCTTGGCTTGCGCTGTAACCCTTTCAAGAGAAAAATGGGGTTTCGCTTTTTCCAGGAGATTAATTCAAATCCAAACCATCAAAGACTTAGGGGGATGAGATCTTCGACGTTTTCTATTTGCCAGGGGTATGTATGATTTTTGCTTAGTGCAAATTCTTTAATTTTCCTTGTTAAATTTACGCAAAGCTTGGGATAAGTTTCCACAGGAAAGTGTGCGTAATCCGAGCACTCCAGGAGAGGAAATTTGGAAACTTAGTATTTTTATATTATACTCAGGTATATTATGCATCCATATGGAAAATTGTAATTAAAAATTCTTACCCGTTATTTTTCTGCAGTAAAAAACGTTTATCAAAGAACTTCGTACCTGACTAGGTATATACAGGATGCGCGCCCCCAATTTTATTACCCATTATTGATCTACTCAATATTACGCAAATTTTTAGCCATCAAACTCGAAAATAATCGTAAGAGGCCGAAAAACACGATCTCATTGTATATATGTATCTATCTTAATAATACGGAATATGTAATTATTTTGCAAAACTCAACATATAGGAAACTTTGGGGGCCAAAATAGAAGCAGCAGTCAAATTCTAGTCCAAAAGAAATTTATAAATTATTTCGAGTCATACTAAAGAAAAGATTTGGTCAAAATTAGCAAAACATTGGCTCATTTTGGCCAGATCTCGAAAACTGCTGGCGAGCCACCCCTATTTTATTACGGATTTTTGATCCACTAAATACTACGCAAGTTTTAAGCCATCAAACTCGAAAATCGCTAGAGCGCGAAGAAACACTATTTCATTGTATATATCTACCCTAATTATTATTAATAGTTTACCCATCAACTTTTTCAAAATTATTCCCCGTTCGCCAACAGCGCCGAAATTATCAACGAAACCATATTCTCAATAAACAAAACTTTCGTATTCCTGTCCAACTTTATGAAACGGTAATCAAACACTCCCCTTTACGAAAAGCTCCTCACACAAACGAAGAGGAAACTAGACGCTGCCACCACCTGGAAAAACATGGTGCAATACCATAAACGCAGCTCCCTAAAATTACGGTACACGAATTTTTCCCTCGCCACGTCCCAGATGACGGGGAGTGGCCCGAACGTTGTCGTCTAAAAAAAGGCCAACTCTTTATTTTGACCCCACGTTTCTTTTCAACCGGAGGACGCAGCTCCTTCGGGGTTCCTGCATACACGGCCCCATTTATTGCAGTATTTCCAGCAATAAATTTTATAAGGAGGGGACCTTTGGTATCCTTGTAAATGGTCATCATCAATTTTTTTGTCAGATTTTTGCACTTTTCAATTCACGGGCGGTGGCAACCCCTCGTGCTTCCAATGAGGGAATTATTATTTGGTCACCGGGTCATAATAGTAAACCCAAGTACCATATGCAGCCAATAAAATATTTAGCAGGTTCCAGTTTTCATTTAATAGGTTAAAATTTGCATTGCAAAAGTCGACTCGATCCTGTTTGTGAGATGCCGAAAGCAATTTTGGTACCCAAGGGACGGAAACCATTTTCATACCTAAGTCTTCAGTTAACATGGAACAAATTGCTGGTTTTGGAACACCCATCTCATCTGCTATATAGGACAGTTTCAATCGCGGATCTCTCATTATTGGTTCCTCTAGTTTCCGGAGCCTTTCTGTGGAAGAAGCGGATTTTGAGCGTCCTTGCGACTTTTTGCCCGAGACCTCGTTTCGCCATAATTAAAAATTATTGACCCAATTGAATTTGTGTTTCGTGTTGGGCAGTTTTCATTGTACATTTTAAGCATTCAACCATAAATCTGCGACACGTATTGCCTATCCAGCATTAAAAATTAAATCACACTACGATATTTAATTTGCAAATCTAGCATTTTTTCCGTCGAGGTAAAGTTTGCCGATTTATTGCTAGTGTTGACGTTAACCTTAAGAACTGAAAAAAATCACAGCCTCATAAATGTATTTGAAGTTTGTTATTTCATCACAATTTTGGTCAGAAACAGTGCGGAACATACCTTTTGAAAATTAATAATAAAACACCTACGTACATATGGGTACTTGCGTTTGACAAAATTAAAATGCAGGTAGTCGTCGAAATACTGACAAATCAAGCTAACCATTTCCCACTAAAACTTTCGCATAATCCAATTAAAAGAAAATCTGTCAGGAAATGAAAGTCGAATCGATACACGTGTCTGTATTTTTTTACTTCATGCATTACATACATACACTAAATGTGGTATCTTATAAAACGAATATATGTATGTAAGCCCCTATTACAAATATTTATATTACTTGCTTTATTAAAATCGACGAGGCAATTAGACTTTACAAAATAAGTTCCTGACATTTTAGTTTAATTATTTTTATAACTATTTACACACATAAGATATAAAATTGAAATTAAATACTCGAGTCAGTTACATAGATCATAAGGATTATCCACGCAACCCATGTATGGACATGACCAATCAATTTATATTGAATAATCATTGGATAAATTTCATGGTAAATATGACGTTGCTGATTGTTTAGTGAAAGCCAAATTAAATCTTATGAGATATTTCTAGATAATGAAAGTTTGGATTTCGGGGAATTTCTAAGGGGGCGGTGCATGTACGTATGTAAAAAACTCCTCCCAAATATCTATCCTAATTTGCATGAATCTTCCAGCTTTCTTTCTATATTCAGAGTAGGTAGCGTACCATACTTCATTTAAACTTCACATTTAATTAAGCCAATTTCTATTTACATTGTTCTGAACATTGACGTCAAAAGATTGGAGAAATATTGAAGAATGATTAGACACTAATGCACAAGTGAAACATAACCTTTGTCCGTATGCCTGAATAGTCGTGATACATCATGAAAATAACATCTGATTCTTTGAATACATCAATATCTGATTATCCGATATTGATGACTTTTTCATGTGTGGTAGAACCCTTTGAGAAATTCACCCCCATTTATTCGCACCACACTCCGACATTTAAAGGTGCCCCCAAGGGAAAACTAAAACCTTGTCCTAAATCCTAATTTTGCTCGGATTTTCATTATTTTTTATACATATTCGTGATCCCATCAGAGGTCAACGCCACCGATTGTTCGCGCTGCGGCCGCCAATAAATCTGATTTCCTATTCCTACAACAGTGGGGCGCCGGCGGCCGCGCGGCCGACGCCGCCGAAATAAATTCCAAAATTGGTGCCACCGTCACCGAACAATGGTCGGCGTTCACCTCTGGAATCCAGATAGGCGCATATGTATGATATCAATATCATATCATATTAACATACAAACCAAATTAGATGACGTTGAGACGGACATTGTGTGCTGACGTTATTTTGTAAAACACTTTATTTTATACAAACAAAACTCAACGTTTTGAACTTTCTCCGTTTTTTAAATATAAATCAGGAAATTTTCGAAAACTTTGAAAATACAAAAAATGTAAAATATTTACAAGTGAACTACAAACTACAATGCTTCAACTTCATGGAAAGCTAGAATAAAATGAATACACGTGCGTTTCATGGAAAAAGCGCACTTTTTGAGTATGGGTGATTCAGTGGTGGAGTGGAGTTAATTTCCTACACGTGCCGAATTTCCCGTGCATTGCAAATTTGCGAACAGCAAAGTACAAAATAAAAACAAAAACTGTTTCTTTAAATAATATTTCAACGTATCTTGCGGTAAGAAATCCCGACTATCCCGTAGACTGCACATATGTAAATACGCAAGATTGGTCGTTATCTGATATTTATTTCCCTATCTATATTTTTTTATTTGGGAATTTAAGTCAAGATTTTTAACGATTAAATGTAATTTGTGTATTAAAGGTTATTGTAAAATGGCTGCTGCATCTGCCTCCACGTCAAAACGCCGAATTCCGGAGGAGGACGAGGATTTGACCCAGGTCAACCTCGTAACTGGTTGTAATGTTCAAACGTTTGAGTCAATGGGGCTCAAGGAGGACTTGCTGAGGGGAATTTCCGCTCAAGGTAAGTCTGAAAGAAGACAAATTACTTAATTTAACTAGACCAACGGATTTTGCAAGGTTACCAAGCACTGCGTCAATTGTACATATCTGTATCATTTAGTGTGCATTTATCATACCACACTAATTTAGTGCCACCCATAAAATCCTAACTCCATATTTCCCAGGGTTCAAGAAACCTTCAGCGATCCAACAACTCGCAATAAAACCGATTATCCAAGGTCGAGACGTGCTTGTTCAAAGGGAGCCTGGAACTGGCAAAACTACGGCCTTATCTATTGGAATTTTGCAATCTGTGGACTCTACAAAGAGGGAAACTCAGTTCTTGATCTTATCTCCAACATCAGAAAGGGCTATTCAAATTCAAAAGGTGATGCAATGCAGTTTTAGCCGTGCTTGAAAAATATAACAAAATTGTTGTAATTTTTAAGATTCAATTTTTTCCAAGCCTTGTTTATATTATGTCGATATGATACTTGTTCAGGTTATTCTGGCATTGGGCGATTACTTGAACATACAGTGTCATAGGAGCATTGGGGGAACCAATCTTGGAGAAGATATGCGAAAAGTAGATTATGGACAACACGTGGTATCTGGAACCCCAGGCAGAGTTTTTGGTACGATAGTATAAACTGTCATCCAGTGGCTGCGGGTCAGAGGGACAATATCCCTCGTTATTCGATATCCCCCTCATCTGCCAGTGTTATATAAACGCCGCTCTCTCCTATCCTACAATGTTAATGTCCCTAGGGACCGCCCATAAATTACATAACGAGAGAGGGGGTCTAAGGCTCCAATGATATCGTGCCTACATATGTTAAATATGTTAAAGGGGAGGGGGAGGGGTCTAGAAAATCTCGTTACGTAATTTATGGACGGCCCCCTAACTCTCTTTACGACTTCCGCTCCGCGGCCACTGCTGGCACCTATAATGATAAAACATATTTAAATGTCGAGCGATATACATAAATGTATGCAATAATTCAAGCAATAATTATTGCCCTAGATATGATTAGACGAGAATGCCTGCGAACAAAGGCTATTAAAATGCTTGTGTTTGACGAAGCCGAAGAACTGCTGAATAAAGGGTTCAAAAACCTGATTTATGACATCTACAGAAGCCTTCATCGTTCAACGCAGGTATATATTTTGTATAAGCTTGAAGCAATTAGTACATTAAGTCATTCATGGGTAACTAATTGAATACAATTTTCTTCCAGATCATCCTTTTCTCTACTACGATGCCGCATGAAATCTTGGAAATGGCCAGAAGATGGATGTCTGATCCCGTCCGAATCCTTGACAAACGGGACAATTTGGCTTCGGCATTACGCGGAGTGAAGCATTTCTTTGTGGGTTGGTAAAAAATTTTGTAAACACCGTCCCATTAAGGCGGAATAGCATGCTGGCTGATGCGGGTTTTTTTGTTTGAATTGTTGTGTCTCAACTTTCCCTTCCTCCATGTATTCAAATGGCGATTTTGAAAAATGTTCACCGCCTTTCGTTTTTAACAATATGAAGATATTAATGCACCTAAAAATCGGTAATTTTTAGGCTTACATAGTTAGGAGATTTTGATTTTTTTCTTCAATGAGGAAATATTTAAATTTTATTGATTATTTTTCATCTATTTTATATTTATCTTCTTGTTGAAGAAAAAAATCAAAATTTTTATCTCCTAACTATGTAAGCCTAAAAATTACCGATTTTTAGGTGCATTCAAATCTTCATATTGTTAAAAACGAAAGGCGGTGAAAATTTTTCAAAATCGCCATTTGAATACATGGAGGAAGGGAAAGTTGAGACACAACAATTCAAACAAAAAACACGTGATACAATGCCACGTTAATTAAGCGACCTTAGTTGTGAATTTTTAAATATTTCTAGCTGTGGATCACGAAGAATGGAAATTGGACACCTTGTGCGACGTGTACGGTACCCTCCCGATTTCGCAAGCCGTTATCTTCTGTAACACCAAGGCTAAGGTAAACTAAGGCTAAGGTACACTTTTTCATCAGAATAATGATGTAATTACAACACAAAATCAATTTATTTTCCTCACAAATACAGGTTAATTGGTTGGCGGAGAAAATGCGTGAACGGAATTTCACCGTTTCTTTAATTCACGAGGAAATGCCACAAAAGGAGCGGGATGCTGTTATGAAGAATTTTAGAAATCAAGCAACGTAAGCGTATTTAGGTTTATTTGAATAATTTGCATCATTTTATGCACAAAGTTTTAATGTCAATTTCCATATGTACATTTCTAGCCGAGTACTAATTACGAGTGAGGCTTGGGCGAGTGGGAATGACGTTAAGCAAGTTTCACTGGGTATAAACTACGATCTTCCAAACAGTCCGGAATTATATGCTCACCGGTAAACCTCTTAAGCAATTCACGAAATCCTTGGTGACACGATAAAATTCGTAAAAACTTGCCGATTTTACGAGTTACCAATGACTGCGTGAATTATTTTTCTGAGAAGAATAACTTAAATCATTCATTCGGATCTTTTTTTCAAAATTTTATCAGGATTTGTCGGTCTGGTCGTTTGGATGGGAAAGGTGTCTCGATCAGTTTTGTAAAGGAGGCTGAAATTCAGATCTTGCGAGATATTGAGCAGCACTATTCCACCAAGAGTGATGAGATGCCAGCGAACAGTAAATTTGCAAGATTTCATATTTTTCAAGTTCTTAGTTTGCCTAGTGTACATTATAATTTATTTCAGTTGCAGATTTGGTCTAAAATCGTCATCAATGACATCATGGTCGAGAATCACATCATTCTTTAGGACAGAAAATCGACGTAATAAATTTTTTCTTACTGAAAATATTGCTTAGTAATAATAATGTATCAATTTACCATTTTTTAGTAAAAGTTATTGCCCTAATTAAGTACTATTGTAGTTGGTAAAATAAATGCAAACTAATTATCCAGGAATTCGTAGTTTCTGTTAAACAAATGAAGATCGTCAACCAAATCGAAACATTCGAATTCACGCACAAGTTCAAATTAAATATTTATAGAGATCAAAATTAGTTTTATCTTTTCCGTGTTGGCATTAATTGTTACTAAATTGTTAAGCTTATAGATGAGGTGGTGTTAAGTATTCCGAAAATTTTTTACATCCTTTACGTGCCGCCCTTGTGATAAGCTTTTCATGGAAACATACATATCTCCAATAATTACAAAACTGCATACTGCACTCTTATCTATTTAATATTATGATGCAAGATTCCAACTCTCTTTTATAATATTTATTGTAAATATACATTCGACCCATAATAGGTCCCCAATTACAGCACAAAGTCCAGACACTTTAAAAAGAATATGGAAAATATCCTGAAACGGGGTAAGCATAAATATGCCTGCCAAATTTTCTCTGATTAGGGACCGTCCATAAATTACATACCACAAAATTAACGCTTTTTCGACCCCCTTACTCTGCATTCGTCTAAGCCTTTGTACCCATTTTAATTCCTTTTCGCCAAAAGCGCCGAAATGATAAAAGATACCATATTCTCAATAAATGACACCTTTGTGCTCCTATCCAACTGGAGGAATCTGTGATCAAACATTCCAGCATACAACGTCGGCGGTCTCATAGCTGTCATCCTCATTCTCCAAAACTTTCTAAGACTGAACTCTTTCCCAGTACAGAAATTAGCAATATTTTCGAGTGAAATCTTCATTTTCTCAATCGCCACACTCGACGCCTCCTTCACCTCGGTTAACGGAACTAAAAGAACCTGCACCACTCCCACAATACTAACCGCGATGAAGGGCACGACCCAATAGATCGCCATGGGAATCAGGTCATACGCAGTAATTGTTAGGTACCACGTGATAATTCCAGTGACCATGGTCAGCCCTAGCAGCTCGGTAATTGCGATGTCAAAAATAGTTTGACCGGATGCCAACACGATGTGCGCCATATCGTGAATTCGTAGTGCCATCAGTACCGAAAGGTTACCCTGTTTTTGTGCTCCGATGAAGGTGAGGAAGAAATCTACGGCACAATTTCCCCCTGCAAGCAGAAGTGATACGACTTGAAAGAACTCAAACAATGGAATAATTGAAAGAAAACAGCGAAGGATCGAAATCATGATTGAATTGTTTTGAAAAATACGGTTTGGTATGATCGCTTGAAACACGTAGAAGAATGGGTCCATCTTGAACCGGAGGATAGAAAAAATCCCCAATATGACGAAAGTAATGGGGAAAAATCGCATGCAGAGTACACCGAACCGAGTGACATATTCGGACAAGAGTGTCTCAGATGGTAGTGTGGATCCTGTAGAGAAAAATAATCAATATATCATAATAAGTGAAAAGAAAGATGTATGTAACATTCCAAGCATCTTAAAAACATGTTAAGTTTGGACAGAATGTGCAATGTCTCAAATTCTAATTTCCAAAAACGTATTGCTAATAGTGAGTCCAATCGACTCGACTCTCTAGACGGGTTTCAAGTGTGGAGTTGAGTCGGGTGAAAACATGCACTCCATTGTTAGTCGAGAATCGGTACTTCAGACGCGCAAGAATGAACAATGAAACGCATACCTTCCAGAAACATATTATACTTTTTAATTTTTGAGACGTGGTTTCATTTTCCATTGAATCATAAGTATGACCTATTTAAAAGATGCAAGTTACTTTTACAAGGAATTCAGTCTAACCTTTTTTTAATTTCAGCCTCCACGATCATACTATTATCCCAAACTGCCACCCCTTCCGGTCCCTTTATCATGATCATCAGCCCGCCTCCAAACCCAACCACGCTGCTCATTAGTCCCAAGAATATTTGAAACAGTAAAATTCCCTGATGAATGTTCGTGTCTTTTACAAAGATCTCTCTCAAACAAACGAACAGAATACTTAAAGTTGTTAAAAGTTGGAAAAACATGGTGCAATACCAAAAACGTAATTCCCTAAAATTTACGCTATATACGATCCACTTGCTTCTCACGTCCCAGAAGACAGGAAGTTTCCCATATTTCTGGAATATGGAGGCGTACACGTTCAACGCGTTGATTGCTGACGGACTCGGCATATCGGACGAACTATAATTTTCTTTGGGAAGTTACACCTGACGAAGTTTGAGAAAACTAACGACCCATTATGCGATTGTGCGGCGTATATTTATGTAAATCTGCAAGGTTACGTAACATTGTCCAAAATGGCCAGATTTGAGGAAAACAGTCCCCGAGCACTTTTCTCGTAATATTTTTGCATATTCTGAGCCCTAGGTGGCCTAAGATGTGTTCATAAAAAATTCGACGAGCCACACCCACTTTGGGTGAGGTTCTTTCCTTGTGGGTTTATAGCCAATCGCCCAAACGAAATTTGTAGCCCAAGCGATTATACACTTTCAGTAAAAATTTCAACCAAATCGGTCCATAAACCAAAAAGTTATTAAGGGTAAAACTTTGGCGAAAGGCAAAAAAGGCCTACTTTGGGGGCGCGGTTCTCTGAGAGGGGTAAGTAAAGAACTCCAGAAAGCATTGCAAATTGTGATCCCCAGGTAGATCTTCTCAATCCAAAAACAACTGAGTTTCCATATCTGCCCCTTTCCAAGATATAAGGCCGGGAACATTGAAAAAAATCTTGGCGAAATTGTCCAAAACGGGCGAAATCAAATATGACGTAGAGCGATAAAATTTAATATCTAGCTTCAGCTGGTCCTAAAAAGTACGTCGCAGGTGAAATTGAGCCATGTCGTCATGGAACGACATCGACATGTCGAAATTTCGACATGACTGTATAGCGCTCAAATTCAAAACGAACTCAATTTTTTCCAAAATTGGATGTCGACATGAAAAAAAAAATTTTATGCGTTTGTGGAGAGGTAGGGGAGTATTTGTTTTTAATACTACTACGCCTACTTTAATACGCCTACTTCTACCGGATGAGTCTTCCTACTACTTTGTCAACTCATTTACATTCGTGACCTCGGGAGGGCGAAAGTGAGAAGTAAAACTACCAGTCTCAAATTTATAGAAGATATCACAAGAATAATTCACTTTGCTTATTTTTTAATTTAATTTTAATAATATTATCTATGTAACAAACTTGCTAAAATTAAATCTGCGAGGTTTTGCAAGTCTATGTATATATATGATATATACTAATTTCACCTTTAAAGACCTACTATGCGTTATATGTACATATACCAGTAGATTATGGAGTAGGGACAACGGGTGGTGTGTACGTGCAACAAAAAGTTCGAATTGTATACCAAAATCATATCCAACATATCCATTATTTGGTATTTAGATTAAATATTAAATTGAAGAATTCGATGGTTCGACTTTCTTGATCATTTTCAAATTGAATTAAGTATTTGACCTTTTTAGTTATTCTTATTTTTATTAAAGATTCTTTAATACTTGACCACACGTAGGGAAATTCTGATCATGAGGAATTTTTCCAGGGTGTTCTGACTAGTGAGATATTTTAAAAATATCAAGCAACCAATGTGGATTTTATTGGCGATGGGTAACAACAAAATTCATCTGAATAAAGTCCATCTTCCAGCTGAGAAGTTAATGGTAAAAGTTTTCTAAATTTGCATACCTGATGTCACTTATAAATACATAGTACAATTTGGTAAAGTCATACATGAACACCATTCGGGATTATTTTAATATTGGATGTATGTATAGTTAGGTGCAAGACTTGAAGCGGAATAACCTAGAAATTGAGTGCTTCATTGTAAATCAATCAATTAATCCATTATTTACATGTGTCCGTAATAATTTCTTGCAGTTGCCGATTTGGTCTAAAGACTGTCCGTAATAATTTCTTGCAGTTGCCGATTTGGTCTAAAGACATCTGGAGTCTCATCATGATGGTCGAGAATTACGTCATTTTTACAACAAAAATTCGTCCTGTTTCGGTATATATTAGATACTTCATAAAATATTTTCTTACTGATATACTTTTTGCCATAATAATAAATAAAATGCCTTTTAAAACATGACTACTTTGGAACGATTTTATTTATTACGAATTATTATTGTAATAAATCGGTCAAGATTCCTAATAGTTAGGCAAGCTTTTAAATTCCTGGGAAACTCAGTGCTACTCTAGGTCGTGCCTCGGTGGGGACTTGATTTCGATTATAATTGTAGATAGGTGTTAGAATAGTATTACTTTACATTATATGGTTTTACTCTTTTCGTGGCATACACATGTACATAAAGTTGTATATGATCGGCATGATATGTACGTATAATATGTATATTATATATACATATACATATATTCAAAGCAAATTAATTTATTCGCTAAAACTTCTTGCACGGTTTTGACTTTTAAAACAATTCAGGTCATTAGTTTAATGGCCTGAAGATAAAATATACATACATATGTATTTACCTAACAGAATTATATTCATTTCCAATTACTTAAAAATTTTCAATAAAAAATCACTCTGACAAATACTATCACAATAAACAACACTCTTTTTAATTGCAAGCCAACATTTTACATACTCCGGCCAACATAAAACCTCACATTCAGCATATTGTTCTTGTACATAATCTCAATTCTGCTAAAGCAACAACGCCTATAAAGACACATATGTACATAAATACAACTCTTCACAATTTACATATAGCTTAACCTTGGGAATCATGGAGATCTATAATTTAGCCAAATACATCAACATTTTTTCCGGCTGTGTCATAAACATCATCAACTACAAAGATATAAATATTCCTTCCACCCTTTCAACCCCTATTTGGACGACTCGATACCACTTTGCATATTATTGTCAATTTTTCGAAGCCATGAGTGACAGACCAAAACTACGCTACAAAATTTACCCAATTGATCACTTGAGCAATTTAACATTCCCCTTTTGCGAACCCGCCTTTGACGAATATAACGCCAATAAGATCCCGCTAAGAAGAAATGTTCACCAACAACGT